TTTCTTGGGAGTTGTACATCACGTACACAACACTTCCAAATACATGGAGGTTTGAATAATCAGCTGGTTTACCAGTCCATATCTCCATTGGTGTCTTCATCTCTATTGCAGTTGATGGAGATCGATTCACCAAATAACAGGCGATATTGGTTGCTTCTGCCCAGAATGATTTTTCTAGGCCTGCATCCCTCAACATTGCTCTTGTTCTTTCTAACAAGGTTCTATTCATCCGCTCTGCCACTCCATTTTGTTGAGGAGTGTTCGCCACTGTGAACTGTCTTTTGATGCCTTCTTTCCTGTAAAAGTCATCAAATTCTTCGCTTGTGTTTTCTCCTCCATTATCTGTTCTGAAACACTTGATCTTATTTCCAGAATCAAGTTCCACCCGCGCTTTGAAGTTTTTGAAAGTTGAAAACACATCTGACTTCTTAATAGGGTACACCCAACATCTCCTAGAGTAGTCATCAATAAATGAGACAAAGTACTTTGCTCCGTCTAGGGATGTAACTGGTGCTTGCCATACATCAGAGTGAACCAATTCTAGAACATTTTTGCCTCTGGAATTTGATGTGTTGAATTTCAACCGATGCCGCTTACTTGTTATGCAATGCTCACACAAAGTAAGTGATACTTTTGTTAAGCCCGGAAGTAGCTTTTGTTCCACAAGGACTTTCATTCCTTGTTCTGACATGTGTCCATGATGCCATAGCATTGCAGAATCTGAACTACATGAGGCAACAGAGGCTTCTGCTTCTAGCAAAGTCTCCCCCTTCAGCATGTACAAGTTTGATGTTATCTTTTCTCCTTTCAGCACCACAAGCACTCCACGGAACACCTTCATGATTCCTTTTCGTGTTTCAATCTTGCTTGCATTATTATCCAACAATCCGTAGGATAATAAATTTTCTTTAGGCCTTTCACGTACCGCACATCTCGAACAACTTTAATTGTTCCATCATACATCTTCAATTTGATGGTTCCCACGCCAACGATCTCTAAGGCATGATCATTGCAGCTATACATAGATCCTCCTGAGACAGGTTCATAATGATGGAACCATTCTCTTCTTGAGGTCATGTGATATGTTACTCCTGAATCAATGAGCCATATATCTACAAATCTTTTTCTGCCTTCTACGGTGGTTGACGCTTCACAGCATAGAGCATCTCCATCATCTGAAGTGTTTGCGGTATTGCCTTGTGGATTGGAGTTTTTATTTAGACTCCAACAATCATTCTTCAAGTGACCATTCTTTCCACAGTTGTAGCACTTTAAATTCTTCTTGCTCCTTGACTTCGATACCATGTTTGTGACTGCTGCTTTGGCCACGTTATGTTGATCTCCCTCTCATCATTTTTAACGCTTCTGCTTGTTGCAGATTTACTTGTCTGTCTTCCTTGTTCTTGCGCCAATTTTCTTCTTGGAGAACAACAGCTGCAATGTCATCGAAGACTAGAGTGGTGACATTACTATTTGTCAAGTTAATGATGAGTTGATCATACGAATCATGTAGACTTTGAAGTAGAAGTTCAACACGTTCTTGTTCTCCTATTGTACATCTTAAGGATGTAAGCTGAGAAAATAAAGTGTTCAGTGTGTTTAAGTGCTCCGTCACTGAAGTCGATTCTGACATTCGGAGAGTGTACAATTTCCTCTTAAGGAAAATTTTATTGTGCAGCAATGTGGCCTCGTACAGTTTGGTGAGATGATCCCATATCTCCTTAGATGTCTTCTTCTCCTCGATGCTTGCCAATACTTCATCTGCTAATGCTAGATGAAAGTTTGCCATATCATTCACGTCCATTTCGATCTATTTGTTGCCATCTGTGAAATCCACCGGCCTATCACTGATAGCTGCTAGACAACCGTCTTTCCTCAGGACGACCTTCATCTTCAATTTCTACAATGAGAAATTTCTCCCATTGAATTTTTCAATATCATATTTCGTTGCCATAGCTTCTTTTACGGATAGCTCCCACTATTTCACTATTGTAAATAGTTCTCTAGAACCTTCAAAGAATGGGTAATAACTTCTTACTTTCTTATGTTGGAGGATCCACCTTTTGGTGGCAACCACAAAGACAATAAACATATATTATACACTCTAATTTGGCTCTGATACCAATTGTTGCGTAAGACTACTATTGGATAGAGCAAAATCACAACTGATAATTTGAGAAAATAAAATATGAAGATAAAAGAGACACAAAATTTACGTGGAAAACCCCTAAATAATATAGGGTAAAAACCACGAGCAACGATAAAAGAATTTCACTATAAGAAAATAGGAATTACAACTTCTCTCGATCTACCAAGGAGAAAACAATGATAATTCTCTCTTGATAAAAAGGAGAAAACAACTCTCAAGAAACTCTCTAAATTCTCTCTAGTATTGGAAGAAAGCTAGAATGCTTTGGGATGATTTTGAAGCTAAATGAGCTAGGGTATTTATAGTTGAAGCTTAAGGACTAATTTGTAATACCCTAACTTACAATGGCTAAAATTAAGGTTCTACCATTGTTGAAAAATCAACAAATTCTGCACCTACCATTCGGTGCCTACAATTCTTGACTTAATTATTTTTTTTTTCTTCAACACCTTTCGGTGCCATGTGCACCAACATGGACAACATATGAGTAACCATGATAAACTTGTGGCGGTCCAAGCCCAACTTCTCATTGTTTTTCTAGACCACAATGGACTCCTTAATCTCAAGATCTTTTGTGTGTCTCTGTGAAAAAATCAAAAGGTCTGAACAAGTGTTTTGGGCAACAACATTTAGTATAAAAACATTTTGTAGTATGACTATTGAAGTCACCCACTTTTTTCACTGACAATAAATAAAGTAGCCAATAAGAATCTACAAGAAACTCCTACCAACTGACTCGAATCGACTCCATAGTCTTTTATAACATCCTTCACGAAACTATTGAAGGCGTCCACTTTTTTTTGCCAACAATAAATAAAGTAGCCAATGAGAATCTAACCACTCTCGATCATCACCGTAGACTTTGTTGTAATCATTTACACAACACGACCTAAAAGAAATATCGAATTCAAATTTAAACATTCTTACAATAAACCATGACTCAGTAGAAGATTAGTAGCCTCATTTCGGCTAGTATTGTAAATGAATGGAACACCTTCAACAATAGACACTATTTCCCTGATGATGTTCTTCTTCTTCGCTATTCTAACTAGATAGTTAAAAAGAAAAACAAAAGCTTCAAAAGAAAGAGAAGTTAAGTATTCAAGAGCCATATACCCAAAACACCCTTTAAATAGTGAAGAAATATGTCACCTTAAAACAATTCAAATATCGTACTACATGACCACTCCAATTACAAGCTAACATGTGTACAAATTTCTCCAACTGTCCAAGAAATATTTATTAGGAAACCCCCAAGAGACAAACCAATTAAGGTGGAGCACGAATTCAAAAAGCAATTTCGATTCATCCAATTTTATGGTATTCCCTTAACCAAGAAGGGATAAGATGTTATACCTCTAAAGAATACCCTACAAATATTCCCAAGAAAGTCTCTTAGAGGACCACACCCTTTGAGCGGAGCCTCCATAAATCCTCTCGAGACACTATGTCTTCTCTGAAACCATAATTCACTGGACTGTTCTTCAGAGTTCATACTCCTCCATCTTTGACGCGACTTTTGACAATCAAATCTGACAGTTGATAGTTATATTTGCACCATATATTAATCCTATTAACATATATGATGATCTTAAGTCTGACACCAACACCCTACAGTCGAGGTATTTATATCCAAATAAGAGCTGAATGAGGGACTAGACTCTCTCTCAACTCTAACCTAAATCACTCATCATCTTTACCATGCTACTTCTATCCTTCAAGGTCTCGCAAAGATCCACCATCTAATGACCAATATTACACTAGTTGTTAGGAGTGTGCAAATTCAGATATTCGAAATTTTTTTATATATAAATTTTTTTGGATAGTTATAATAGCGATCTGTATCTGACTCTAAAAACCAAAGTTCTGAATTTTTAGACTGGATACATATCAGGTATCCAAATGTAACATTTAATTCGACAAAATAATTAGTTTTAAATTTTATTTATTTTTACTTTATGCAACTTATTCGATACTTATATTATATTTTTATATATATTTAATTATTTGTACAAATAAATAATTAAATACCCTAATTTTTATTGGGTTATAGCTTTAATGTGTTAATGAGTTACTCATTTACCGAGCTAAATGATAAATAAAATGTAAAGGTCCAATTTTTTTGTTTTAATTTTTAGATAATCCAAAGTTGGAATTTATCCGATCCGTATCCGATCTGATTATTTGATTTTTCTTTGATTATTCGACCCGAGTTATTCGAAAATAAAAAAATAGAAATATCCAAATTTTTAGATCGGATCGTCGGATAAACGAATCATATCTTTTTACGTGCACTTACCGGATACGACTCTCTACCTTAATAAAAAAAAGAGAAAACACCAACGACTACACAACCAACTTATTCCCGATAACAAGATCAATTAAGTCTCAAATTAAAATTTTCAAGATTATTTTATCTAAATCATTCGAATAGGACCCAATTTAATCCATAAAACCTATTTTCATTGTTTCAAAAAGTAATAACAAATATTTTTATAATTCTCATAATTATATTACTAAAAAAATATTATTGTATTACTAAAATAATAGTTCAAGCGATTAACAAAAGTTGATTTAAGTGGTAAACAATTTGATATTGTTTAAGTCAGATCTCGAATTCAAATATTTGTATATCCAGAAAATCTCTGTTGAGATACTTACCAACTAAAATTAGGAGTGTGGGTCGGTTCAAATTAATCAAAGTGAAATCTTAAAACTGGAAGGGAGGGAAAATAATAATAATTATAATAATAATAGTTCAAGCGGACTAAACGGGTCCTAAATAATCCTATTCAAGCTTTTAACTTAGACAGCCTCTTCCTTCCTTCTTAGAATGCTTTTGAACTATCACGAGTGAAACCTAAACCCAAAACAGGCAAATAAGAGAGTCGCCTCTCCCTTCCGTCTCTTTTACTTACTTTCCTTCGTTATTTTTCCTGTTCTTTTACTCTGCATTTTATTAGAGTGCAAAGAAAAAAAAAAGGAAAAGAAAAACCCAAAACAATGGGAAAGAAGAAGACCCCCATAGACGAAAACTCTGTAATCCGATTAACCAAGATACTTGAGAAGTTTAAGGACGCACAAGATGAAGGTTTTCATTTTTTCTCCATCAAATTTTCAATTTTGAACATAAATTGCATTGCAAAGATTGATTTTTATTGTAGATTTTTAAGGGTTTCTTAATACTATAGTTTTGAGTGTGTTTTCTGGTTGTTTTCAAGATATATACGATTTGTTGTTCACCTCGTTGACATGTACTCTTCGAGATTGGAAGGCGTTCTTTGTTGTTACTGAAATATATTTACGATTTTTTTAGGGTTCTGGAAATGATAAAACGTATTGCTAGCAAACAAATTTTGGTTTCAATGCCAATAATTGAACAAAGTTCAGGCTTTGTTTGTGTTGATCTTTTTATCTAACCTTCGTTTCTCTCTCTTTCTTTTTTTAAATGATATTTAGGTTAGTTCGGTTGACATAGCTAGAAAGTTATCGGAGAATGCTATTTGCTTCTTATGCACTAAACATTCCTTGTAAAGTTTCAGTAGTTTGTAGTATCTTTCTTGGGGTTAAGTCTTTCGTATTAAGTATTAACTTATCGAGTTTTTGATGCTCCATGTAGCATATACCTTTGGATCCAACCTTTCAAACAAAGAACGAGAATTTGTGCACAAGGAAGCCCGGAAAATGGGTATGAAATCCAAAAGTAAAGGGTGAGTATTAATTGCTCGTTTCATGCATTAGTGATGTAAATAATATTACAGTTAAAAAATGTTACTTTTTTATTTTATTCCTTCTTTGTGTGGAATGAAAGCTCATTTCTTTACTTACTGTCTTTTATGTGGTTTTGTAATTGAGTTTACTATTGTAGTTTTTTAAGAGCCTGAATTTTGTTTGCAGCCGGGGAAGCCAGAGACAAGTCTCTTTCTATAAAATCAAAGAGAAAGGCAGCGGCATGTCAGAGAAGAATCTAACTAATGTGGCATTTTCAGAGGGGACAAGAGTGGTTTTGCAGGAATTATTTATAAATTATCCACCAGATGAAGGGGAGTTTGAAGAGAAGGTATTTGGAAAATATAGCGGAAAAACTGCTAAAATACGAAGAAAGAGATGATATTTTCTTGAAGCCATTGATGAGTGCTGCAGAGATTGCAGAAAAGGTTAAAGGACTTGCATATAAGAGAGAAGAATCCAAACTTGAGACAGGTTCTTCTATACAAGCTGGCTCAGAAAGTTTGGTTTTATGCTGCTTATTTTTCACTCTACGTTATGCATAAAGGGGGGAATTTTGTAGTTTCTCTAAATTAGTTTGAGTAAAAGATTTTGTGCATATGACATGCAGATTAATGAAGCCATTGATGAGTGCTGCAGAGATTGCAGAAAAGGTTAAAGGACTTGCATATAAGAGAGAAGAATCCAAACTTGAGACAGGTTCTTCTATACAAGCTGGCTTAGAAAGTTTGGTTTTATGCTGCTTATTTTTCACTCTACGTTATGCATAAAGGGGGGATTTTGTAGTTTCTCTAAATTAGTTTGAGTAAAAGTTTTTGTGCATATGACATGCAGATTAATGAAGCCATTGATGAGTGCTGCAGAGATTGCAGAAAAGGTTAAAGGACTTGCATATAAGAGAGAAGAATCCAAACTTGAGACAGGTTCTTCTATACAAGCTGGCTTAGAAAGTTTGGTTTTATGCTGCTTATTTTTCACTCTATGTTATGCATAAAGGGGGGATTTTGTAGTTTCTCTAAATTAGTTTGAGTAAAAGTTTTTGTGCATATGACATGCAGATTAATGAAGAGAGGTCAAAGCTTCCAATCGCAGGGTTTGGGGATGCCATTACATCTGCAGTAGAATCTCACCAGGTCTCCTTTTTGTCTTCTATGTATTGTTTTTAAGATGTGTATCTGTCTGGTGCGTAGATTCCAGAATGTAGTAGTAATAAAAAGTTATTTCTATTGGCTCTCAAGTTATTTCTGCCCTTCTCTCAATGCAATTGGGTCGTTATTTCAAAATGATAAATCTATATTTTCCTGTTCTCCTGAGTTACAGTTGGGTGGTTGGGATGTTTCATATTGTTATATATATTTTTTGTTCTTCCAAATTCCAATGTAGGTTATCCACATTTCTGGTGAGACTGGGTGTGGCAAGACGACACAGGTATTATTTTATGTTCTTTTTTTTAATATAATTTTTATGGTAATATCTAATATAAATTGTTGAACTATTTGTTTTAGAAGTAACCATTTATGTTATTTTCCCCTTTTGATTGGTCTGCGCAGAAAGAGAAGTAATGTATATCACATGTTGTACAATGGACCGTCTCTGATAATTCGAATAAAATCTTATTTAATCTTGTTTATTTAAATAGGTATAAAATTAAATTTACCAGGTTTAAGGCTTTAGATGCTGCTGAAACTGTCCATAAAACATTCTAGTCCTTTATGCAATAGTAAGGAGTTGCGATTGCTGCAAACTGAACCTGCCATGGTTTGGTTGCCTAACTTCAGAGGTTGCTTTAATTGGTTTTTTTCTTAAGTGATTAAGATGAGTCTTAAACTCTCATCTGCTGTAAGTTGGAAAATAATTTAGATTTAGGTTGTTTTCTTATATGGAGTTAAATTACTTCGTTGGCGAAATTCTGTACTAAATTCATGCTGTGAATGTATAAGCATAATGCAAGAAAAATGAATTAAGAGAATAGAGTGAGCTTTCTTCAGTGAGCAAGTGCTTGTCCTAACTCTATAAAACGGTGATGGATGCTAATTTACTGCATTTTGTCTTATGTTATTTATAGGATTCTCAGTGGAAGTTAGTAGCTGGGTAGCTTGGGATCCATGAAGGCTTTTCTTTAGCTATCCGTTATTGATCATGTTAATGCGTGGGATAATGCCTTCATTAAAAGATCAGAGTCTAATTGTGCCTTTTTGTGTGTGGGTACAATCAATTTACTATAGAAGTTCACGAATACCAAGGTAATTGAAGTTTCTGCTTAATGATGATGAATTGACTTAGTTTTATAAATGTGCCTAAAGGAGAGCATATTTGTATTTAAAAATGAATTTATATTATTAGTGTATACAATTAGATCAAGCCAGAAATAAGGTATGAGGATCCTTTTCATAAAAGAATAATATCAGTAACCAGTTGCTTCTATAGAAGTACTACTACCTCAAAATTATTATATAATTCAAATTATATCCCAGCTTCAGCCACATAGTTCACTGCTCCATGAAGTACATAATGTCAGGATTCATTTGTTTTGGGTTTCATGACTTGTATTTCTTGTGCGTCTGGTCCAGGTTCCACAATTTCTTTTGGACTATATGTGGGGAAGAGGTGAGGCTTGTAAAATACTGTCTACTCAGCCTCGGCGTATATCAGCTACATCAGGTTTGGATAACATAGGCTTGTTTTATTCCTTGTTCTACATATTTTTTTCCTTATTTTTTCGGCTTTTATGGTGCACAAACCTTCATATGGTTGCTGTTTTCTTTATCTGCTAGTGTCTGAGAGAATTTCTTATGAAAGAGGTGAAAGCATTGGAGAAACTGTTGGATACAAAGCATTGTTACTAAACTTTTTAAAACATGTATGTGTAATGCGATTCATATTTGTTAAAAGCATGTCATTTAATGTGAAATTGCTGCTTGTTTCTCACTGCCTTTTAACAACATGAGAATCGGTACCGTGTTAGAGCCTTAGAGGTAGACTTAAAAAGCATAGAATCATTTGTTCAAGCTCTGTAATTTCAAATGAAGGAATTGGAACCAAATTTTATGCTAATGATCTAAAATATCTGCATTTATTGCTATATATATATATATGCTCCAGTGTGGCTCCTTTCTATTTATCCTTTGTTTTTTAGTTTATACATCGGTTTATTGTTTTTTTGGTTAGGCTGAAATGCTGCATTTAGCTAATGTGACAGTGAACCTTATATTTTTCTTGGCCTTTGATGGAAAAAGTTTAAGTTTATACAACATTGCTAAAAGTTTTTTTTTTATAGGAGTAGGAGGCCTCATTAAAGACCTCCCTCATAGTAGTCCTATTCCCTAAGGAAAGAACCGACTAGCGGAAGGAAGAAAAGAGTACCTCATTATATTGAAAATAAACATGTTACCAGGGTTTCAAAAAACGTTTCACGACCGCGATTTCGTTCGTGATATAGTGATTTCGCCGCCGTCTGAGTTACCCGCTACACCCGCAATAGTGCTCGCGACAGCGTAATAGCGCCCGCGACGGCTGCAATCACGGTAAGCCCGAAATGATCGAAAATGCGACCGTGACTTGAAACCCTGCATACATAAGACTTAAAAAAACACCAAATACATCTGTTCTCTAAAAACACACAGAACAACTAAAAAAAACTTACAATCACCTAGTCCCCTCCTTCATTAAAAAAATTGACAGTTGTTTGAGCTGGACGATAACTTGCTCATTGGGATATAATAAAATCTTATCCTAAAACTGTTTGAGTTGTATTTTGTGGATGGAGTCTCTTTTTACATTATATTGTGAAGCCAATGCTTGAAACATTATGCGGTAGAGCCAATGCTTGAAAACAATGACGGTGCTAGTAGACATCATCAAAATATGATTTGATCATATCACAGTCAACAAATTAACGTCCAACTCAGAAGACCGTCAAATTTTTAATGAAAAAGACGAGTTTGAAATATATGAATAGTTGAATGATCATTTTGTAATTTTTAATAGCCGGAGGATTCAACAAAGCAGTGTCTTATAGTTGAGGGTGTACTTTACCCTAGAAATTTTTTGTAAGGAACGAGTACATACAAAATTTTAAGGTGGTCACTATTAATAAAATATACAATTAATGTAAAGTTTAGATACTAAAATAGGACAAAAGTAATAGTATAAGTACTAATTGTTTAGTTTACCCAAAAATATAATTTGTGAAATTAAAAAGGAGAACGAAAAAAATACCTATAGTAGGAATGTATTGAAATGCGGACTGCTTTTAATGGAAATCATCCATAGCCAACAAAATTTTTAGACTGTTTCCACATTTTTATATTTTAAGTAAATGTCACTTTTTAGACATATTCATTAATTCGTGTATTCTAGTTATGAGTTAAAAAAATAAGTCAAATTATTTAGTTCAGTGAATAAAGAGAGTGTTGGACTTTTTTGTGGTCCTGATTTTGAGCAGTTATGTGTGTAGAACGTGTGTTGTCAATTATTAAGAGAAATTATGAACAAATATCATCTTATTACCTCAGACTATTAAAAAAATAAAGTACACAAATGGTCCCCGATTATAGAGTGTTACTTTATTGAGTTTCTGGGTATTAAAAGTCACAAATTTGTCCTCCTGACTATAGGACGCTACTTTGTTGAATCCTCTGACTATTAAAAATTATAAAATTGCTACCTAACTATTCATATGTTTCAAATTCATTCTTTTTCTTTTAAAAAATAATAGTCTTCTAAGATGAACGTTAACATGTTGATTGAGATATGATAAAATATGATCCTAGAATTGTTTTACCTGTATTTTGTGGATTAAATCCCTGTTTATATCATGTCGTGGAGCTAGCGCTTGAAACATTATGTTTGCGAGTCGGTGGTTGAAAGCAACGGTGGTGCTAGTAGGCATCATTAAAATATGATTTTATCATATTTCAGTCAGCAAATTAATGTCCAGCTCAGACATACATCAAATTTTTAACGAAAAATGAAGATTTTAGAACATATGAATAATCAGATGACCATTTTATAACTTTTAGTAGTCGGGAGACTCAACAAAACAACACCTTATAATCGAGTGATAATTTTATAACTTTTAATAGTTATGTGACTCAATAAAATAATACTTTATAATCGAGGGACTATTTGGGTATTTTACTCAAAAAAGTATCACGTGTTTTCACGTTTTTATATTTCAAATAAATGTCGCTTTTAGATAATTCAGTATGTTAAGTAATATATTTATTAATACACATATTTTAGTTACGAATTAAATAAAACGTCACAAGTCTTCAAATTTTAGAAAATTTAATATATGAAATAATATAATTATTAATATATATATATATAATAATAGGAATGTAACTGCTTTTAAGCATCCATAACCAACAAAGCTCACTTCAACTAAAGTTCCCTCCTCACAGATTTCTCTCCTTGTTTTCTCTGCATCTCTCTTTATCTACGTTTGTCTGATGAGGTGATTATAAGGTAATATTTATTTAAATTCTCTCATATTTGTTGTTGATAACTAGAGGTGTTTATCGAGCAAGTCGGTTGTGAGTTAAGCAGTGTTCGACTCGTGCTCGTTAAAAAAATTTATTGCCCGACTCAACTTGTTGCTAATTAAGCTCGTTAAAATTTTATTCGACTTGTGTTCATTAAAAAATTTTTTGCTCGACTAGACTCGTTGCTCGATAAGCTCACCAAAATTGTTCTCTTGTGTTTTTTTATCTATAGGTAAAATTTACTAATAATATATAGAGCTTAATACAAATATAAATTAACAAATTTAACAAAAAAAAATTATCAAAAGAATGTATGAAACAATTTTAAACTCTAAATTCTGAAGTAACAATTCTTGAATACACCGAACTAATAAATTAGTAAATTTACAATAATTATTAATTAATATTTTATCATCTTTCTGATTATCTCTTAGCAAATTAGTAATTATTATTTAGATTTTCTTATTTTTAATGTAATAGTTTTTTAAGGTAATTACAGAAAATTATAAATAAAAAATAGAAAACTACTAGTGAACTTATCAAGTCGAGTAGGACCTTGCTCAACTCAACTCATTAAGGTCTTGAGTTGAGCTCGAGCTAGAGTCCAGTCAACTCGAGTCAAACATTGATCAAGTTAAGACCGAGTCCAGTTCTAGCATCTCACGAGTTGTTCAACTCATTAAGCATCCCTATTGATAACGCACACACCCTGTAAACGTAATTACTTAAACATAAGACCTCTAACGATAATAACATTTCCTTTAACCGTTGAGGTTGCTTGAGATCATTCCTACATTATTCTTCTTAAATCTTCTAGTCTTGTTTTTCGTTTATTGGTTCTCCCAATATTGTTTTTCTCCAAATTTCATAAAGCATGAACTCTAGCGGTTTATCTCATTGGATTTAGACACCTTTTTGACAGTTTTTTGTGCTTCAATCTTCTTAAATTGTTGTTGAGAACAAGAGTTCATGTCCCCCTTTTGTGCTGTTTTGCGGTGTTAAGCTTAACCTATATGTGTTTGTGTTCACGAAGAGAGACGGATATAAAATTAGATAATCAATAGAAAATAAAATATATATATATATATATATATAAACTACACGAGAATTCGCAATTTTCAAAGATGCTTTCCATGGATCAAGTTGACAGGGTAGATGAATTGGTTCAAGATTCATTTGTGCTTAATGTATTGATTTCTAATATAATGTTTTGAGTAAAAATATTGATGTTGTAATGCTTGTGTTGTTTTAGATGGCCAATAGCTACACACCCGAGAGCATCCTTATCACAGGGGCTGCAGGCTTCATTGCATCCCATGTCTGCAACAGGCTCATCCACAACTATCCGGACTACAAAATTGTGGTCCTTGACAAGCTTGATTACTGCTCAAGCCTCAAGAACCTGGACCCTTCAAGCTCATCTCCAAACTTTAAGTTCATTAAGGGAGATATCTCAAGTGCTGATCTGGTTCACTTCATCCTACAAACTGAGTCCATCGATATGATCATGCACTTTGCGGCCCAGACTCATGTCTACAACTCCTTTGGCAACAGTTTTGAGTTCACTACGAACAACATTTATGGAACACATGTTCTCTTGGAAGCCTGCAAAGTCACTGGCCAAGTCAAGAGGTTCATCAATGTAAGCACCGACAAGGTTTACGGTGAGACGGACGAGGATGCTGTGGTGGGAAAACACGAGGCTTCTCAGCTCCTACCAACAAACCCGTATTCTGCCACTAAAGCCGCAGCAGAGATGTTGGTGATGGCATGTGGGCGGTCATATGGGCTGCCTGTAATAACTACTATAGGGAAAAATGTTTATGGGACCAATCAGTTCCCTGAAAAACTGATTCCCAAGTTTATCCTATTGGCGATGAAAGGAAAGATTCTTCTGATTCATGGGGACGGATTGAATGTGAGAAGTTATCTCTATTGTGAGGATGTTGCAGAGGTCTTTGAAGTCATTCTACATAGAGGTGAAGTTGGCCATGTTTACAACATAGGCACAATGAAAGAACGGAGAGTGATTGATGTGGCCTCAAATAATTGCAGGCTTTTCGACTTGGACCCTGAGAGCCAAATTAAATTCGTCGAGAATCATCCTTTCAACGACCAGCGATATTTCTTAGATGATCAAAAGCTGAAAAGCTTGGGATGGTATGAGAGGACCAGTTGGGAGGAGGGCCTCAAGAAGACTATGGAACAGTATGTTAGCAACCCTGATTGGTGGGGTGATGTCTCTGGTGCATTGCTACCCCATCCAAGGATGCTTATGGTGCCTGGAATTGAAAGGCAATTCATACCCCCAATACGGGCAACTTGGACTCGGCTCCCGTGACGAACAAATTCAGTCAAAACAAGATGCTGGTTCCATCTACAAAACACAATTCACTACCTCAAAAGCCATTCTCAAGTTTTTGACTTACGCCAGAACAGGTTGGATAGGGGAACTGGGGAAGCTATGTGAGAAACAAGGCATAACTTTCAACTACGGAAAAGGGCGTTTGGAGC